CTGAGCATTTATTATCTTTGACATATGTTAACATTAACTACATTCATAGATGGCGTGACATCATTACACACAAAAATATTTTTTTTACATTTTCTATAAGATGACATATACAGAGTGTGAGGGGGAGGGCACACAAATGTCTTGTATATCTCAGAGTGCGCGTTAGCACTCTCTCCAAGGAATGCAATGAAAAAAATGGGCACCACTATTGCAATAATACATAAACTCAGCTGAAGTTTCTACTCTAACACCCACCAAAATATTAATATAAAGAACCATTTCTTGAATTATACCCACTTCCTACTTTGACCCGTGGTCTTTCAACTTTGGCCCATAACACACTTCTGTGGCCAATGACTGTCAATTAATTAATCATGTAAAACACTGTGTAAGGATATTAAGATGTGGGTATTGAAAGAAGGTAACAGAAAGCACCCCTACTGCCTCTACTTTGGCCATTATCTCTTCCTACAAAGTCACCCTGACAATTGCACAGTGTATACCATGTTTTAAGTATATACATATGGAGTTATTAAATCTGTCCACACAGGCTCAGTCTGATTGACTTACCAGATGACCACTTTGTACTGATTTAAAGTTATAGTTTTGATACTACTAAATTTTAATACAGTGTGTATATCTTTATAATATTTAGCAGAATTTCAATAAACATTACAAGTCTTTTACATACAAAGATCATATTTTTTAGTGAAGTATTTTTAATAAACTAAAAAAAAAAGATTTGTCCGTGAATATATCAAGTCTTTTCTTACTAGTCTGAGTGCAAAGTGATTTTCATGTTTAGATTAAAAATACTTCATCTCAAAAATCTCATTTTATTTACATAAAACCCCCTAAATACATTTAAAATGCTTATATTTTGTCTGCTGGTTTCTCTACCCAAACTCTATATGTTGTTAAATGATTTGACCAACCTCATAACCATAATAAAAATTAGGAAATAAATCTAAATTACCCTTTTTTTTGTTCTAGAATGACTGCAAATTGTAATAGGCAATTACAAATGTGTTCTAAGTAGCTTAATTCTTGTAACAGTAAACATCTATTTCTATATATATTTTTTGTTTCATTGACTTCTGAACTGTATCCGACTAGAAATACCCCAACACAAGTTGAAAATTATATGGCACACGTGCAGCCCACGTTACCGTATCGAATAGCATAATGCTCAAGCTGCTCATTCATATACCCCAAGAAGACTTAGATTATTTTTTCCTTATCTTACCTAACAAGTTTTTATTCTTTTACATATTAATTACTTTTATAGCCTTCTTGCTTATCAGTTTAGAAACAAATTATTGAGTGATTACTTTTGGTTTGAATGTACAATAATATGTTCTAAAACTTCTCAATTTTTTCTTATTTTTAATATTGGTTTCTTACTGAAATATTTTGATACAGAGTTTCCTTGATCTATACACTTGTATGTAAAGATGTTCCTTTCTAAGTGTTAAGATCAGTTTATCAATGATAAATATATTTCATTGACTTTTATACAGACTTAATAATGTCTGTTATTTTTCTTAAAGCATTGAACAGTAAATAACAAATATTTGGAAAAGAATGATCTCTACTACTTATGATGCTATGAAGTCGTTGTTTGCACTCGTGAGTCATACTTGCTAACCCTCGTCCAAATTCACACATGGAGATGGAAAAATAATAACTTCTGTAGACTTTATATATGCATTTTAGAATGCCAAAAAATTATAAATTACTATTTCGATACCCCAAAATCCATTGTAATTTACCAAGCTTCCTAACTAAATTGTATTTGGTTTAAAAAATCTAATTTCTGTTCAGTAAATAGCATTTATCGTAATACTTCAAACTTTCCAACGATATAAGAGCTTTTCTCTCTAATTAACTTAGAAAAGTGACAGAATTAAGAAGAAGAAATGTAGAACTTTCGATTGGTTATAAGATTATTGGTATACAAAATTACAAGTAGATAAACAAGTCTTCTCAAGTGATGAAGTGGTGGGCGAAGCCAATATGGTGGATTTGCTAAACATTGAGATAGCTCAGCAAATGGGAAAAAATAGGTCCTTATTTTACATTCTAGCTTGTAAAAACTGGAAATTTGAGTTTATAATTCATAAGAAACTACAGACGTTGTATTGTGGGCTTCATAAAATGTAATCTGACCAAACTCAGAAGGCAACATACCATGTGACACGCAAAAATTGATATTTAGCCTCTTTTTTTAATATTTACTTTCAAATTAAGAAATCAACTAATGTAAAATATTAAAATTTGAATTATAATCTACAGTTTGATGCCAAACTTATTGACATGCGTTTTTAAAATAATAGTTAAATAAAATTTTGAATACAAGTCTACAAATATGATGACATGCCCTCTGACCCCTACCCATGTCCATAGGATTAAAGCTTATACAAAACTTTTGGTGAAGTATTAATAAATGCTTCAAAAAATATGATATGTTATAAATAAATTGTGTGAAAGTTAGGAGTTTTGTGTTATTTATCATAGCATCCACTCACACATTTTTTTTAATTTCATAATCCAGACAAAGGATGGGTACCTCACCTTGTTCACATTTATAATTCTGTTCAAAACATTTCCTAAACAGCAATATACCTGGTTTGGGGATTTCAGATTTTGAATAACTCTGCTTTTCACTTTTGGTTGCTCCTTGATTTGGATGAAAATTATCCGTATCATCTTTTCTTTTTAAGCTGTCTGCTGGCTTGAGATGCGAACTTTCAAGAAAGTTACTACAAGATGCAATACCTGAAATAATAATAATGAAAAAAATTAATATACAACAAAAATTCAAAATAGGCTAATGAAAAAAACTTTAGGGAATCAAAATTCATTATGCTTCAAACTTTTTCAACAATATTTATATTTCAGTTGTTCTAATAATAAAAACTCAATCTCGCAGTGTTGAAAAATATTCACCTGAGCTAGGTAGATGACATTTACTGTTACTATAAAATCTTTCAGACTAAATTCTCTTCTTTTAAAGAGCATTTGTCTCTTTTGAATCACTTAATAATCAAACTGATCATCTGTGTTAGTTTTCTTGCATACTTATATGAAAAAAAGAGCAGAAGACAATTCAAACACACATCAAGTATAATAATAATTTATACAGTGATATGCAAAGTGTAGTCCAATGTGCTCATATAACTTCTTCATCATTACTTCCAAAAGATTTACTTAGTACATGTATATCTATGTTAGCTGTTTTACTATGAATTTTTTCATGATATTTTAACAACATGATGATAATTCTAAGACAGCCCATTGTAACTTCATCCAATTATCAGTCCTGTGGCTGAAAGAGTAAACTACACTTTTTTTCTTTTAGTAAGTGGCAATAATTTTTGTACTGCTACATAATAAAGACTATTAAATACATTTGTTATTCCCACACCTTCATTCTTATTCCATACAATTCTATTTCTGTCATCTTTTTCAGTCCTTTCTGCTATTTTACTAACTAATTCAGAATCAGGAAAGTCAGAGATAGGTTCATCTGTAGACTTCACATCATCTAAAGTATTTGATGACTTGATGTCCTAGTAAAATATGAAATATACCTTAATATAACTTAGTTTTATTTATAATCAAACTAGTTCATGTTCGTCAAATTACAATTGAAAAAAGTAAGTTAATGGTGAAAATTTCTAGTTTACACATATTGAAATAAACAGTTAGTACCTGTAACTCATTAGACATAATTATAATAAAAAGACCACAGGTACTTGCATAATTTCTTAGAACAATTAATCATTAAAGACAATCCAAATAATACATTGGTTGAACATAATACATTACAAAATTAAAAAGTAGATCAGAAAACTAAAAAAAATAAACTTTCAGATCATCCATATAAACATATTTGAAGTTAAACATAGGAGAGGACTTTTCCTTAATAGCTACGAATAATAAATGAAAATGCTCAACAGTAACAAAATATCTTCAAACTAAGTCTTTAATGACTATCACTTGGTTACTAAAAGCTACAAAAACACAGTACCGTAGTCTTGTACTACGTAAGTTTTTTTTTAATGAAGGATTAATCACACTTTAGAAGAACTATGTTTCGTGGAACTATTTTTTCTATTGTTGCTCAAGCTCCATCTGATGGCCATGATTATGTATGACTTTAGAATTTGTATTGTGAGCAGTTTCTGCAAAGAATGGCATGATTAGTCGTATAACAAACATCTTAATAACCACTCCATAGGTCTTCCACTGTAAGTTAACAATAGTTTTAAAGGACAAAACTGAAAAAACAAAACAAACATATAAAAGTCCATTGAAGCTTCACTGAAGGACGTCCCCAGTACGTGGTGAAATGGGATTATTTCTTTAATTATCACTCTTATGAAAACAGCCAATGATTTTGAGGTGTGGCTGAAAGCTTGCAAGTATTTGGTTTATGAAGTTTCATCAGTTTCAAATCCTCGTTTATTATCTTATTAGCAGTGTAAGGAGTTTTACTGCAATGGCTGTTTGGATTGGAGGATTTTCTTTCGTAACTATAGCTTTCATTTTGCAGTTGCTCTGGAACAGCTTAAATCTTACTGCTATCCTATATGCTGTGATATGTGATATATTCCATTTCCATAGAGAACAATGAAGGGTCCTTTTAAAATGTTGTGTCCTTTGCTCCATTTTATTTAACAATCTCACCGTGATTATTTTTTTTACTGTATAGGCTTTTTCTATTTGTCTAGCCATAAGCTTATTCATGCACAGTGAAACTGAATCAAATATGTAGGTGCTAAACATGTTGTCCATAATACTAAGGTCTGTATGTGCAGCAATATCCTATTGTATTACCATTTGAAAATTGTTCTTATAAAGCACAAATAATCCTTCATAAATCATAGTCTTTCAAGACTATTCTTTATAAACCCTTTATTATCTCCACCCATACAATTATGGCAATGGTAAAAACCTTTCCATGGATGATAAAGAATAAACTAGAAAAGATTCCCATGCCACAAACAGCATTTATTTTACTGGCTTTACAAAGATATGCATTTGTTTCATTCATTATGCAGGACAACAGAATGATGTCACAAAATTTTCCACAACTTCACCCCTACTATTCGGCTTCTTTACATTAGTGTTATTATTTTCAATACATTATTTAACTTGTACTTTTACATATCACAGAGATCTGAACCACATAAAAGTACTCATGGAGGTGTCATGGTGATCAGATGTAAGGAACTTAGAAAACTTTTGTCAGAGACAGACATTCAGACACAAGAAACTTTATAATACAAAAACTATTGAAAGAGAACATTATAGCACAGTCATAAACTATAACAATGTTATAATCCTTATATTATTAGTTTAGTTAATTTTGATAGCTGCTATTACAAACTCATAACTGATGTATATCATGTATATTATACTTTAATAAATGATAATTCTATAAAGAACTATTAAACGTTACTAAAAATCGGGTTTGTCACGGTACATCAACAACAATTACAATTTCCCTAAAGTTTTTTTAATTAAACATTATTTAGCCAAATGTCTGTTCAAAAGAAGGACTTCGGTCTGTAACCCACATCCTTATGGGAAGTAAATATATGAAGAAAAAATGAAAACAAACAAACAAACAAAAAACTACACACTCAGATTCATCAATAGTGTACAAGCAGATCACTTGTATACCGTGATGCACAATCATGACAACGGTAGTAGTCAATAACTCATTTTGAAAACATGAATTTTGATTAATTGATTATATTAGGGAGTCTTCACTCTAACTGATTAACATAACCTTGGATTAATTGAAAATAATAATGTGAAATCATAATACCAATATCTCACTTACTTGGATAGTGGAATAATCAAAAACACTAATTTTCATTAGTTGATTATTTTGCTATAAGAGTTGTAATAATAAATGAACTAAAATGGCAAAGCACTACAAGTGAATTAACATTCCAAGTAACTATTAATCAAAGTTTAAAATACCAATGAAACACTGATATTCTTGAATTTGTCTCTAAAATAAAAACATGTATATAGTTGAACAAAACTACTTACACTTTGTATCGATTTTCTCCCAAATGCTAGAAAATTGTACACTTTTTTCAACACTTTCTTTTGTGATGTAGTAAGTTTGATAGCTTCAGAATCACACCTGTAAATTTGATTTTAATACACTGTTACAGGTATTTTTATCAGATTCAAGCTATGGATTGTCGAGTTTTTTACAAATACCCATTTTAACACCTCTATGTGAGATTTCAACCTTCAAAGATATATATTAGTTTCTTGTCCATTTTTCTTTAAATACAAAATGAGTCAAATTTTTTGGTTAAGCAAAGTATTTTCTTGCTTTAAAAGTTTTCCTCATTCTTTTGCACTGCTTTACTTCATGAGGAATTGCTACCTCTGGTGGAAGATTTTGAGTGATACTACAACTTACAACATTTAGATGTTCTGTTTCTTGTTTCTAATTGGAAAAGTGTGAGTCACACTAGAGATTATATTTATTGCCTGATATTGACAGAAAAATGAAATCAATTTTGTCAAAATATGAATTTTTGATTTAAATAGAAAATTATGGCAGTTTAAATTTATTCTTAAATAGGCAAAAACTACAATTTCATTCTTTCCAGTTTATAAGGACTTCAAACTAGTCACTAGATACAAAAACTAATTCAGTAAAATAGAATTACTGGCACGAGAAGAAAAACCTGGCCTACAAATATACAAGATACTGTTAAGGAAGGAACAAAGTGACCTAAAGAAATTAACAATTATTCAATATTTACAATTTGATTGATATAACATACAAACAATGCCCAAACTGATGATTTCTCACATAAATAATTGTTTAAAATGTACTTTAAGCTACAAAAAAGCAAGCTTACTTACCTGATAGTATAATTAGGACAGCAAGTGATTTCCATAGTGGGCTTGTAACAGTACTTCCCACTTCTGAAAAGCATAAATTTCTATATTATTATTATTATCAGTGTATACTACATATGTGTTCATTGTATTATATTACAATTCATTCTTATAATCTTTTTAAAGGTTAATTCATAGCTTGCTAATTTAAAATAGCTATCCATACCTTACATACCTGGCAGGCCTAGATTAAAAGTTTAGAGAACTATTTGTCCTTTGGATTGGTTAAATTCACCTTTCCAAACCAAGCAATAGACTGTCCAGGTAAAAATGAAAGTAAAATACCATGAACTTATGAATGAAATTCTTCACTTAAGACACACATTAATTAAGAGATTAAATGTAACTAAAAAGTTTTAATACACAGATTTGTTTTAATGGTTAAAAAAAGTTTTAAGTTGCATGACATTTTCTGTGTTTGTGTTACTCCAGTTAATGTCACACAGAGGTAAGTATTAACAAAAGTCACAAAACAAAAATACAACATTAAGACTCAGATTTAAAGAAACTATTCTGTATAAATATCAAGTTACATAGTAATTAATCTATAACAAGCTATACATGACTAGTAAACAAGGTTTATTATTTTGCATAATAAATATCATGTAACAGTTATGTTTCATTCAATGAAAAATTCTACACTCATTGTTGTTGTTTGTTATTAAGCACAAAGCTACACAAAGGGCTATCTGTGTTATGCCCACCACGGGTATCGAAACCCAGTTTCTAGCAGGATAAGTCTACAGATATACTACTGTGCCACTGGGGGGATTTACACACATTGAACAAAATGTAAGAGTACTTAAAATAAAAAAATGTATAAGATCTGTACATCCATTCAAAGCTAGTTGTAGACTATTTACTGTCTTTCAACATTTGATCATCTTTTATGATGAACAAATTGCTGTGTTACACATTTAAAACAAAGAAAAAATCACAGTAAGCTAATGATTCAAGTTGAATATTTATATAAATTAAATTCAAACAGTCAGAGTATAACGTTAAAATAATATGTCTAATATCCAAGTAAAAGTAAATACAATTCAAGAATGTATATTAACTACATAGTTAAACTTTATTTAATCACTGCTTGAAATTTCAAGACCAAAAATTAACTTTAGGAATATGTAGGTACTGTCATTTAGTTACACGCACTGTACGTTATTTTGCTATTTGTTTATTTAACAAACTTTCTCAAAATAGATCAAAGAATTTTTGTAATTTCAAGTTCATAACATAAGAAAACAAACACACCATCTGGTCTTTTAAGACTGTCCTTGCACACCCATTCTTGGGAAAAGTAAAAATGTAAAGCCATCCATTATTTTCAAGAAATCATTGATTCCTCCTTTGAACTCTTATCAAGTGCTGAAAATAAAATGGTCTTAGCTGGATCTTACAAATCTTAAACTTTCTTCCTATTATATTCAGGATATATTACAGAGAATCTGGGGTCTTAATCCAATCAATCCACTGAATAATATTGTAAACTTCAATAACATCACCTTTTACCTTTTCAAGAGAACATAAGTTAAGAGATCTTAATCTATGCCTTTAAGATAACCTTTCCATGCCTAGTTATCCTAGTAGCCCTCCTCTGAACCCTTTCCAGTAAGTTAACTTAGATAACTTTCTTAGATAAGGAGACCAAAACCATCCACAGTCTCTAAGGAGTACCTAATTAGTGTTTTGTATAGAAAGAAAATGATCTCTTTTGTCTTATAATCTATGTCTATACATACACCCCCAAAATCAATTAACCTTACTACAAGCAACAGACTACCTAAATGATTTAAGTGACTTAACTACTATACCAAGATCCTTTTCATAAACTACACTTGAGTGGGTTCCCATCTACACTCAATACAAGATCCAAATTATGGTATCTCAAATGCATTACCTTGCACTTTTTAGAATAAAAGTTATTTGCTAACTTGTTTGTCCAACTTACCAATTCATCCAAGTCATTTCCTAATATCTCAACATCCTAAACATAATTAAAAATACTCAAGTTTGTCATCAGCATACTTATTGAATAATTATTTCCTACCACTATTATTAAATAAATGAGAAAAAGCAAAGGACCAAGCACTGAGCCTTCAGGCACTCCAACAGTAACAAGGATCCAGTTTAAGTGGACTCCATTAATAACAACCTTTTGCTTTCTTCCATCCAACCACGATACAATAATAGTGTAGTACTTTATTTTAAAAAATTGATTTAAGTTTTACCCACTTACACATATTACATAACAAATTAAAAAATACCTATCAGTATTTAACTTTTTCCTCACATAAACAAAATTATATAACTTCATTTTGTTTTTACAACTCAAACATGGGATGATGCATTTGTACTTGTAACAGTTTCTGTAACAATGACCAATTTTTCATACCTTTCACTTGATAAAGGATTGATGATATGTATATACATTAGCCACTTTATTATAAATACATTCTGAGAGAGAAACTGTTGTGTTTATCGTGATAATGGTAAGAAAACATAGTGAACAATATCTGAAGTCAAATATAGTAATAATATATCTCGTTTAAAAAAAACAATTATTTGCTTGTCCCAAGATAACGTGAAAGTTTCAGAAAAATGGCATAGACAGAAATATTTAGTAAATGTTACATCAGTATCAGCATGTTAAATTATTATCTGTCCAGTAGACAGGTTTTGTGTTACATGTCAAGATCAGTGAAGTACAGTCATTAATGTTGAGCTCAGAATGGCTATAAAATAATAAGTGAAATTAAAATATAAACAGAAACACTCTTCTTTGTTTAATACATCAATCTATTATATAATGATGTGTGATACCCCATTAAAACTAAGTTTTACCATCAAAAATGTGAAATCTCGAAATCATACAGATACTTTTGTAAAATATTCACCAAACAAATCAAAATGCTAAAGAACAATCAGAAATAATATAAACTGCTAGAAATTAGACTACATTTCAACACAATATCAAGAAAACTAACACCGTTATGAAAGGTATTAAATATTGATATAAGTAATGATGTAACTTGCATATTTACAAAGGAATAAAATACTAGGGACTTAAACACTCATATGTATAGAGTGACGTACAGTACCATTGTTCTTGTATCTTAACAGTTAAGTTATATCAGTGGTTATATTTTCTTTTTAAATTGAGAGCAGTGTATTTCAAATTATTTTTATTCAAAAAAAGATATTTTCCATTACTACTTCTTAAGCTGCTAAATGTGATATGATTTGATCAACTGTAATAATACTTCTTTTTTCTCCCACTAAACAAAACCTAACATAGAGTAAGCTTTATAATATTATTGAACCAAATTTATGTTTTATTACTTACTAGACAGCCCGCATGACCTTTTTTTGAAAGGTTCTGCTCAAAATAGAACATAGGTATCCATGATGTAATACTGTGAAAAATACAGATTACATTTATCACGACAGTGGCTAACATTTTACTTCCGATTTGTAGCAAAATAAACAGCTTTTAAAAACTCAAATTTGTTAGGTGCTAAGATATGTTCAAATTCCAAATATTCTCTTTTTTTCTTCTTATTACCTACAATCATTTAGAGAAATGATTTGTGTTTAGATGTATAATGCTCAATTAGAAACTTGTGCTCACCTTAGTTCATAAATCACAGCAGAATTAAAATTAAGTACTTTACAGATAACACTATTCCTTAACACCTGTAGCAACGTGACATTACTCAAAGGAGTATCTAAATGAATGTCTAAGTAGCTAAATTTTGTTATACGCTTAAACCATTTATTATCAGCTACTAGAGAGTTGATTACAACATGTTAGTTATACTACTATATTGAAACACAAACAGTTTAAAATACTTCTCAATTTCAATCTGCCGAACAAGCAAATGACATCATTTATTCTATGGTACCATCAAAAACTGATCGCTTCTGGGAAGGGTATGTAACAACTCCTTCCGTCTCAAAATATTCATATACTCAGATCACAAAGATGTGTTCAGATAAGGGACTTAGAATTTTCAAAACATGGTTTATGGATAAAACTGGTGCAACAGGAGCATCCAGATATAGACCTGTGAAATGTACCCTAGCCCTGGTAAACAAAATGTATAATCTTGTAACAGGTGATAATTCACAAAGGCCATTGGCAAGAGTATGCAACATAATCAAAAAGGATCACTGTCTAGAAAAGTGATACAAGTCATGTATACACAATCTGCTTCCACAACACATTTGTTTAACAATTGCATACCTCAAGCAATTGTAGAATGAAATGGTTATTCATGCTATTCCATACAAAGACATACTGATCAAGTTCAAGAATTCAGTGCTTATGGATTTCTATGTGACAACTCTTGAAACAGATGCTGGGAAACCACTGTCTTTAAACAACAGATGAATTATTGAAAGCATGCAGGGATAATTGTATGGTTCAGACAGGATAGCCTTACCACAGTTTCTTTTGCAATGGAAACTATGCTGCTGAGTTATTGTCACGAGGAACAGTTATCAGATAGTTCACGACCATACATGTCAAAATTAGCTGACGATATGATGAGGCTCCAAAATTGTTTTAATGTAACATACTCAATATTACTAGAAATAAAATATACATTAAGCATTATATTTATACTTTTTATACCTTATAAACACAGATTCTGAAAACTTATAATTAACATACACTAGACATAATACATGACTGCTAAAGATATGCCTTTAATACAAGTCAGCTTATGTATACGTATATATATATATATTTATTTTAACTGTATACATACCTCCTCCAACCTCTGTCAATGAGGTTTTGATAATCTTGTACAGTAAGTGCATGTGCCCACATTCCTGAAATAATAATAATTATTTTCAAAGGTAGTAAAGACGAATGTCATTACTTTATGTACATATATTTTATAATAAAATTTTTTAATCTTACTGCAACAGATGTAATTACTATATATTTTTGGAAGGAGAAAAGCATCGTTATCAATCTGTATAAATTGGAATGACACATGAAATACTATAACATAAAACACACATAAATCCCTACAAAAAACAACCAATTTGTACAATGTTTTGAAATAAGGAAATGTTGTACCAAACTGCAACAAGAGATAAACAAATTAATACTTGTTCACCCTTTTCTCTTATTTTGTTTATTTTTCTTTTACTGATGCCTTATTCAATTGAAATTGAAGGTTTAAAATTTGGAAGTACTTTATTATATAATTTTGTTATATAAATATCTGATAACTATATTTAAGTTAAACAAGCTTAATTGTGTAAAATGAAAAAATGAAGTAAATTGTATGTGTAATACATTCAGTTACATGTGTTGAAAGTGTTATAAATGCCATGAAATGTACAATATAAAGTAGCAATAGTAATCATTTAATGTAAATAACTTGGATTTTTTCACCTTTACAACTTTGTAAACTAACAAGAATCACTGGACAGTTTTTGTTCTTTTCTAGATTATTAAAATTTTACAGGCCTAATTCTGTACAGCTCAAAATTATAATTATTTATACTACTGTTTATACCTTTTAATAAATAAAAGTAACTTGAGTGTTACTGGCTGTCTGCTATTTAATAAAATCTATAATTTTGTAAGTTATATTTCCAGTATTTACAATCTTAGCTGAAGGGCACATGACATTAAAATCAAGAATGTTCATAAAAGTATACCTAGATTATAGAAACTTCCTGTACTTGGTTGAAGTGAGAGTTCAGTATAAATACAAGTATTTAAAACACTGAGTGACAGATAGTGCTAAAAGTTTCAATATAGTAGTAAAGCATTATCCGATTTAAAAAAGCCTAAATACGGCTCTGGTAATAAACTAAAATTCACTAAAGATAATAAAATGGTATAGTGAGCTGATTCTGTGGAAAACATTTTTTTTAGCCAATAAGCCGTCACAATTTTAGTAAAATGGATAGAATGTAGATAAGAATAGAGATGGAGAATTAGTGGATTAGGTTGGTGATGCCAGGAAGTTGCCTTCCCTCTTGTCAGCAGTTCAAAGAAAAAAAAGCAAAAAAATGATTATAATTGGTGTTTCCAAACAGTTGCCTTTCCTCTGGTCAGCAGTTCAAAATTAATGATAGTAGCTTTGCCATAATAAAGACAAATCAAGCAAGTTTGGTGACAATAGGAATAAAACCTGCCTGAAACCCTTGACCTTAACCTGACCTCATATTACAGCCCATCAATCCCAGGTGTCTTCCTAGTAACCTTCTTTAGAACCCATTCCAAGAACTCAATGTCCTTCTTAAAGTAAGGATCCCAAGACTAAATGCAATATTTTAAACCAATAGTTCTCAGCCTTTTTTGGCTCATAACAATTTGCAAACATAGCCAATCATGATCCAGTAAATAGTTCTAGTGCAAATAAAAAAGCATCTGGCCAGTTAAATAAATAAATAATTACCTACTTATGGTCTTTTCACAACCCTTTCACCCATTCTGATAACCCAATTTTGAATAAAGACTCCTGGGCTGAGATATGCTGCTCTTTAGACTTGTATTCAATATTCCTGTAGACAAGACACTAAATCTAATTTGCTTTTACACTGGGAACAACACACTACCTGGAAGGTTTAAAAGACTGACTGACCAAGAATCAAGATGATACTTTTTTCTATAACATTATCGAGTAATTTGCTTTTCCACTGGGAACAACACACTACCTGGAAGATTTAAAAGACTGACTGACCAAGAATCAAAATGATACTTTTTTTCCATAACATTATCGAGTAATTTGCTTTTCCACTGGGAACAACACACTACCTGGAAGGTTTAAAAGACTGAATGACCAAGAATCAAGATGATACATTTCTCCATAACATTATCGAGTAATTTCAATCAAGTTGGTAATTAAAGTTTAAATTAAGGTAGCCCACTTATGTTACCCTGAACTTAGCACAATTAAATGAAATCTGCCCTTTATTTACCCAACTGTCCAAATGCAATAGCAGCAAATGAATATTTTGTTTGAGTAAGCTATTCTGTCATGTTTGTGGGAGGGTTGCACAATTGGGAAGAATCAGTCCATGCTCCTCAATGAATAAGCTCTTTTATGTGACTCACATAAACACTCTTTTGATCTCTCTGTCCCTCTCCATATATGCTATATAATATTTTTGAGATGGTAAGAATAATGCCCTATGAGGAAACGTTTATTTGGGGAGGCTACGCTTTCCCAAGCCTCTTATACATGTTATCCCTGGCTAAATGATTGAAATCATAATATATAACATAACAATTAAAGAAAAAATAGGACCTGTTGGTCTGTCTGGGCCAACTAAACTATTAAACAATAAAACTCAAAGCCAGCCCTTATTATTCAAATATTTATCAAGCCTTCTCTTAAATTTACTGCTTCCACCACAATCCAAAGGCCAATTACTCTGTTATGTAAATAAAACTCTTAGCTGAAGATGACTCCTACCCTTCCAAAATTCTCTCCATTTAAGTATGGAAAAAGATGATGTATTATCACTATCTATTTATTCTCTTAAAAATCTTAAACACCTCAATCTGAGAGCCCCTCTACCTTTTCTTTTTTCAAGTAAAAACTATTTAAGAGATCTTAACCTGTCTTTATATGACTTTTCTATCCCAGTTATCATCCTAGCTGCTCTCCTCTTAATCCTTTCCAACAATTCAATGTCCTTCCTAAGGTGAGAAGCCCAAGGCTGAACACATTGCTCCAAATGTAGCCTAACCAACAACGTACAAAGAAAATATATCTTTAGGCTTGTATTCAATATTTCTGTAGATACAACCTAAAATATACTTCCCCTACTACCAACAGCACACTGCTTGAATACTTTAATAAACTGATCAACCAGAACAGGAAGTACCTTAGTATACAATGTCAGGACTTTTGTTCTTTTTAGTTTACATTAGTGACATGTGAAGGAATAATCAATAAATTACTTAAACATATTAATGATATTAAGGTATTGCTGGCTGTGAAGATGTTTCTGCAGCTTTATAAAAGGACTTAGATCATTATCATTTTGTGAATTGGGTAGATAAATGGCAGCTGTATGTTAATTATAATAATTGCAGGTTAATGCGTGATTGATTCTCATAATTTGAATTATAAGTATGATTTTAATGGAAATAACCTTATGAAAGAAAAGGATCTTGAACTTATGACATTAGTCCACTTTGACTGAACTCTGCTTTCTTCCATTCAGCCATTTTTCTTTCCAATGAGCTAACTTATCCCCCAAACCTATATAGATTTTTCTTTTTATTTAACAAGCCTTTAATGATAGCATCTTGTCAATTTTCTTCTGAAAATTCAAATTCAAACCCTTACCCTCAACTTCATAAACAGTAACCATTTCAAAGAATGTCAAAATATTAGTTTATCTCTTTTAGAGCAAAGCCACATTGGGCTATCTGTTGTGTCCACCATTGGGAATTAAATCCCAGTTTTTAGCATTGCAAGTCCATAAACTTACCAATGCCACATTGGGGTCCAAAAGATTAGTAAGGTAAGATTTTTCTCTAGTGAAACCATCTAAAACAACAGTACCATTTTTGAACCCAATAATATCCCAAACTTTAACATCATCAACAAATTCGACCAATATTTTTACCATTCCCTTAACCACATTGTTAATGTACATGTACATCAAAAAGAACAATGATCCTAGCACATAATCCTGAGTTACTCCATTTGCAACCCCAATCCAATTTGGCTGAACTTCATTTATTACAAAACCTTTGCTTCCTCTCCTCTAACTAACCTTTAAATCCATTGAGCTAACTTATAGCTAAGTAAAATTAAAAAACAGCCCAACAATTTTGTTGATCTTGTGTTAAACTTAAAAATGTGGCCTATACTCATGCTTTTGGCAAATTGTGTCTATATCAGTGTGATATTATTAAATATTTTAATACTACTTGTATTTTTAAATTATTTTATTTTGTTTTCACTACTCCTACTACTAATTATGAATTATTTCCTGAAACAATTATTGTAAGTTTTACACTGTATACTAGTAAAATATCACACACACAGTTTAAGAACAGTACAGTGCTATGTACAACTACA